CAGCTGCAGCAGCAGCAGCTGCAGCAACAACAACAATTGACATTCAAAATCTGCTGCCTGTTGTCGATATTGATATGGAAAATTTTCCAAAAAATGTTTGACATAAATCCAGAGCAATCGATATGAGCTTTACAAGTTACAATTAAAATGCCTTTGCCATGACAACAAAATAGAAATGATTGTATGATCGTAACGACTTGCAAATACCGCGTAAAAATTATATTTGTTTATTTGCTTTAAATTGTTTCTTTGTATAAGATCTACATCTTTTTCTCATCCTTTATCTATTTGTCTAGTTATGTGTCAATCTTTATAACTATTTATCTATCGTTATATATATATGTCTATATCTGAACATATATCCATCTATATATCTATCTATCTAACTATCTATTTATTAAATTTATCTATCTATTAAGTCTACTTGTTCATATTTATTTATCTCTCTATTAATCTGCTTTATATCCTTATCTGCCAATACATCTCTATATATATGTAACCACATCTATTAATTCCTTCTGAAATCTGCCCAATATACCCCTTAAAGTACCCTTGAAATGGGCATACCACACACACTTATAATTTGCATTCTGTTTGTTGTTTTCGAGGCCATAAAATTGGAATCTGTTTTAATGGTTCGTTGTCTGGCAACAATTAAATTGGCAATTGAATGCGATGCAAATGCAATGTCGAGTGTCCCATGGAACGTGCCTAAAATTGCAATTAGTGCAATTTTGCTTGGCAAAATGGCGCATAAAATATCAATAAACACTTGGCAAACAAAAGCGGCCAAAAAGTAGCAAAATCTGCCAAAAGTGGCCAACAGAGATGCAAACACAAATCGAATTGTGCATTGGCCAACCAGGCGACAATAACTACAATGCATGTGCATATGTATGCTTATATAGTACACATTCATACTTATGTATATATATATATATTTATATATATATATATATATGCATATATATATATATCTGTATATATTCGATTATATAAATAAATGCATTTATATAATAATAATTATTTAATTTAATAATAATAATAATTATTTATATATATATTTAGTTGATAAAGATTGATACGAGATATATATGTATATGTATGTATGTACAACGGCTTAATGCTTCTATTAAGAGGCATGCAACAGAAGGATGATCTGATAATATTTGGAGTATTTTTTTGATAAAAATAATTAAAAGTGCTCTAGACGGGCGTGTGTGACTAGGAGATACCCTGAGCAGAGTTTTTTATGCAGCAGTTCCGCTTTTACTGCGCTTTGGCTGAGCTTGGGCTGCACTGGGTTTTGCTAGGGGAAATTTAATTGTAGAATAAATTTTGTTCTGGTATGAATTACTTAATCACAAGCGCTAGTCGTTCTGATCACTAATAAATATACTTTATATTTGACTATCACGCCTGCTTCTGCCTGTTACACATATTTTCACAAAATCACTATAGTCTGAATTCCACTTTCAGTACATCATATAAATATTTATATATTTAGATAAAAAATTTAATTTAATTGTTCTGACTTTCTATTGATTCTATTGATTCTATTGATCTGCTCATGTGCCTCCGTTTTTATTTTCATATGAGTATATTCGAATTTATATACTTGCACCCATTCTCCTGCACACATTTGATAATTGTTTCAGTTACAGATTACATAAAATTGCAATTTTTATATAAATTCTTTGCTAAGCTCTGCTTTTAGTAAAATTGTTATTAAATTTGAGGCAAATCCCTTGAATAAAACAAACTCATGACTATAATAATATAATTTATATAAACGCCTAGAATTGTTTTCGTTTACCGCAACAATAAAAAGTGAAGAGAATTAAAAAATTGAAATTGATTTCGCGAATGAATAAAAATTAAATTGTAATTTTTATGAGCCCTTTAAGTATTATGATTATGTGAATATGTTTATTAATATCCTTTTATATGACATAGGTTCTGTGTCCACTTTCGAGTGTTGGTATGTGTGTATGTGTGTGTTCTTTGTTGTGTGATTAAACAACAACAAATACGAATTAAAACTGATTTCATTAATATTATTATTTTGAGTAAAAACAATTATAAATTGCGCAGAAACCCATTAAAATAAATAATTTCAAATTTGTTTGCTTCTCATCTTTTATTTATTTGCTTTAATTTTTTACATTTTGTTTCGTTTCATTTTGCGGTTGTATTATAATTGAATTTGACTGGCAAAGCCGCAAAATGCGTAAATTGTGGCCAGGATTTTCCACATAGAATGGAAATGCTTAACGCCAAAGCTAATGATGCAAATTAATTACAAATGATGCACAGCACAAAAGACTCCCTCGCGTTGCATGTGTGTGTGTTATACGAGGGCTGTTCAAAGAGTTGCATATGTTTACTTTTCAATATTCGATTCTGTTGATGCAACAATGTCTCAGTTAAAAGAAGCTGTATCAAGTTTATGGTCCAAAAGAGAAGATTAATGATGACGTATTTCCCAGAGCCAGATCAGACTTGCTCTCACCTCTTCTTGTTCCAGAAACTACGATTGAGTAGGATGAAATCGGCATCGCAGGAAGTTCTCATAAAAAATGATTGTTTGAAGTGCTTTGAGGTATTACTTTGAAGGTGCGACTTTCTGATCATCAATAAATAAATCATTTTAGAAAAAAATAACAATATTATCGATACTTCTCGAACACACCTCGTATGTTGTTTTGGTTTTTTTAAATTTTCTATATTTTGTTTGTTTTTTGTGTGGCTTGATTTTTAATTTATGCGCACCGCAGTTGATTTTCACATAAAATCCAATGCATAGCTACGCAAATCCACCGCAACTTAAAAGCTTAAAACGCCACGCGAGTTCCTGGCGCAGGACCAACTGATATCCCAGCCAAACAGGCAGCCAGGCAGCCAGGCAGCCAGGCAGCCAAGTAGTCCCCGGCCAAGGCTTATAAATTTTAATTAAAATGCGCACAGCTCGCACAGCAACGTCAGCGACAGCATCAGCCGCGCTTATTTCCGCTTACATTACAATTACATTCATTTCCCAGCCAGCCCAGTCCGGCTCGGGCCAGCCAGTCAGCCATTCGGCGAGGCAGTCAGTCAGCCGTCCTGGTCCACAGGTTAGGTCGAGGCATTTGCCATGGATACAGCCAGCGTTTAGTTCGGGTCTTAACACCTGATCTACCGCTGCTCGAACTTTACGTTCAGTTGAGGGCGTCTGATATCTGTGCATGTTTTCACACTCCTTTTGATGCCCTTTAAATTAATTTAATAAATAATTTAATTATATATTAAATAAAGGGTTGTTTAAATTGTTTTATGACATTCTTAAATTTACTTTTTTTCACATTTCATATTCCATTTACTGTGATGCAGATTGTATGTTTTACTTTCTGTATTTTGTGTTCCATACTCCATGTTTCTTAATCAATATTTCATTATCCATGTTTCATATTTAATGTTTCATATTCCATGTTCCATTATCCATGTTGCATGTTCCAAGTTTCATTTTTTATATTTTCTATATGGAACATGTTTCAAGTTTAATATTCTATGTTTTAAATTCCATGTTTCATATTTAATGTTTCATATTCTATGTTTCACTATCCATGTTTTATGTTCCACGTTTCATTTTCTATATTTTGTATTCCATATATTCTGTTCCAAGTTTCATATTCCATGTTTCACTATCCATGTATATTTCATGTTTCACTACCCGTTTTTCATGTTCCAAGTCTCATATTTCCAGTTTTATATATAATATTCCCATGTTTCATATTCCATTTTTCATTGTCCATTTCTCATTATCCATGTTTCATATTCCATGTTCATATTTCATGTTTCATTACCCGTGTTTCATGTTCCAAGTTTCATATTCCACGTTTTACATTTCATATCTCCGTGTTTCATATTCCATGTTTCATTATCCATGTTTCATATTCCATGTTTCATATTCCATGTTTCATATTCTATGTTCATATTTCATGTTTCATTACCCGTGTTTCATGTTCCAAGTTTCATATTCCACGTTTTACATTTCATATCTCCGTGTTTCATATTCCATGTTTCATTATCCATGTTTCATATTCCATGTTTCATATTCCATGTTTCATATTCTATGTTCATATTTCATGTTTCATTACCCGTGTTTCATGTTCCAAGTTTCATATTTCATGTTTTACATTTCATATTCTCATGTTTCATATTCCATTTTTCATTGTCCATTTTCATTATGCATGCACATTATATAATTTTAATTATTAAATTAAAATAATTATTAAATTCCATGTTTTATATTCCATATTTTATGTGCGATGTTTCACATTTCATGTATTCCATTATTAAATTTGGAATTTTAATTTGCCATGTTCCATATTCAATATCATTTCATGCCCCTCTTCCAATATTTAATGTAGCAAAGCACAGACATTAAATGTAGATTAAATCTGGATTTCCTTGCTTATCGCCTTAATCTAACATTGACGATATTCCCTGCGTCGCTTTGTTGGCTGTTATAAGTAATTGTTATAATTAGAATGCAGAAAATAAACAATTTGCAGTTTTCATTATTTACTCGCAAGTCGACAGCTGCTGCTGCTGCCAAGAGGAAACTTCTGCTGTCTAATTTAGTTCATCTTCTGGATGTTGGCATCGAGGGAGCAGCCGATGGCAACATTTGGTCGAATGCTGTTGCAGCACTAATGACGCGAATCGGCCTAAATACCCAGAGATGGCGTGAGGGGCTTGGGATTGAAGCCAATGCCAACTGCGTTGCCAACTCGGCAGTCGTTTTTCCAGCGACTCTTGCCAGCCCCCTTGCAACAGAAACGCCCTAATGAGACGCAATGGGAGCCACAAAATGGAAATTAAGTCAAATGCAACGGCGACCAGCTGCAACCAAGTGGGGCGTGTCCCTGTGGTTAGCTAGCTTTGATTTAATTAAGTCGAAGTAGGCGTAGCACTGGCCCAAACTTCTTTTCGCCCCAAGCAGCTGGCAACGACTCAAAACTCATTTTGATACTCTTCAAATGCTCGAAATTTGAACTTCACTTCAAAATGAGCATCAAACTGGGCGCCGAACCCTTGCGTGCCTTTCGTGTGACCAAGATCTTCAGGGAAGCGCGCAAGCTGAAGTACTCCATGTGCTTTTCCCAGGATGGACAACATCTCTTAGTCTGCGATCATGACAATTTGATTGTCTTCGATTGCAACAGCCTTCAGCAGCTGTGTGTGGTCCACTTGCAGAACTATCGCCCCGAATTGGCTTGCTTTACACGGCGCAATGATCAACTGTTGCACAGCTCAACGAAGGTAGGTGGGGGACAGCTGGCGAGAAGCTAGAGATAAGCTGCGGAATGCTTGGAGGGAAGCAAAGGAAAGTATAGAAAAACACAAGGGAAAGTGGAGAGTAGAAGAGAGAAGTTAGGAAGAAGATGGCGAAAAGTAATAGAGAAGCTAGGGAGAAGCTGGGAAAGAAATTGAAGAGAAATAGAAGAGAAGTAGCAGCAGAGAAGTTAGAGAAACTTGAGGGTACAAGTTGCCATATTGTTAATAATTATCTCATTGAAGGAGGATTTTTTCATACAGACATAGAAAAACTGGATTGAAAGTGGAGAGTAGAAGAGAGAAGCTAGAGGGAAGATGGCGAAAAGTAATAGAGAAGCTAGGGAGAAGCTGGGAAAGAAACTGAAGAGAAATAGAAGAGAAGTAGCAGAGAAGTTAGAGAAACTTGAGGGCACAACTTGCCATATTGTTAATAATTCTCTCATTCAAGGAGGACTTTTTCATACAGACATAGAAAAACTGGATTGAAAGTGGAGAGTAGAAGAGAGAAGCTAGAGAGAAGATGGCGAAAAGTAATAGAGAAGCTGGGAAAGAAACTGAAAAACAGTAGAAGAGCAGTAACAGGAGTTAGAGAACAGTTAGAGAAACTTGAGGACACAAGTTGCCATATTTGTAATAACTCGAAGCTTTTTCTCTCATTCAAGATGAACTATGACATACGGTATTTGGACTTGACAAGTCATCAGTACCTGGCTGAATTCAAGGGTCATACGGGGGCGCTGCGTGGCTTATGCTTTCAGCCGGGCAGCGCGCACCGCTTCATGAGTGCCGGCTGGGATGATCGTGTGTTTCTGTGGGATCTGCGCTGTGGCAGCTACACGCAACGGTTGAAGCATTTGCAGCGTCCACTACTGGCTATCGATCCGTCTGGCTTGGTATTTGCTACGTGCCACAATGCGGAGCGCCTCGAGATTTTCGACGTACGCAAGGCGGGCGGAAAGCCGTGCCATCAGTTTAGCTACCAGCTGAACGAGCAGGCCAAGTGGACGCAGCTGCAGTTCGCGCCGGATGGCAAGAACCTGTTGGTCAACACCGACCATGGCTGGTGCTTCAGTGTGGATGCATTCAACGGACACTTTAGGCAGATATACACAGGCTATGCGAATCGGGATCAGCTGCCGCTGCAGGCGTGCTACACGTCCGACTCGCAGCACGTGTTGGCCGGCTCGGACCGAGGACGCGTTCATGTGTGGCGTGCAGCCAGCGGGCAGCTGATGACCGTGTTGCACAGCAAGTGCAGCCAGTCGGTGCACTGTCTACAATTCAATCCCCAGCGTAGCATGTTCGCCAGCAGCGATGTGAGCACGCGCCTCTGGCTGCCGGGCAAACGCGCCTTGCCGTCAGCTGACAGCGAGGAGCTGCCGACCATCGATTTAACGCGCAGCGACTTGGATATGCATAAAATCAGACACTGTCGAAACTGGCCAAAGCCCATACAGGTGCCTACTTGGCCAAATTCCCCGTCGCCCGCTGTGAGCCGCCGGCCCAGGCGACGCATGCCACGCATGCCACGCATCACCATAACTGACGATGAGAGTCTAGAAGAGGGCGAAATACCTTGTGCCACACACACTCGCCATCAATCAGCCGGACATTGAAAGTTTCAGTGGAACTTCAATTGCACTCGGCCAAAAAGAGTTTGAAGCCACAGCTGGAGTCCAACAACTTGAGCACATTGCACAGCTGGCTGCAGCATAGGAAAACTTTTCAGTTACTTTGCTAGCCCCCAAAATAAAGGGGAATAAAAAATATTATTTGTTGTCTTTTTAATATTAATGAAATCCTTTTGCTAGAAACTAGAACTTTATACAAATTGCTCTTGAACTTTCGCCCAAGTTCTATGTAACTCTAATTGAAGATGTGCCCCACTTTCGGTGGCGCCACGAGCAGAGCTCGACTCGAGCTTTCCAATCTTGTGGCCGATTCCGAAAGAGCTGCGGATTTTCCATAACTTTGACACATAAATTTCTGAAGTTTATGTGTGAAAGCATTTACTTGTGGCAAAAAGAGTTTGCTCGACTTCAACTTGATGTAGTCTGAGTTAAACAGAAAACTTTAGCGTAGTAAAATTTTATGAATTAACAAATCTGATTGACTGCTCGCAAAGGGCTTTGTATGTTACGCTTAGCAGAAAAGCGAATGGAATTTTAAAGTGCAGTTGATATAAAATAAGAGATAATATATAAATAAATAATTAATGAACTAAAAAATAATTACAAATAACATATATTAAATATAAACACACTGTTAAATCGTGTAATAGTATTAGGTAGTAATCCATATCCAGGCAATCATAAGCGAGCAGTTGTACTTGTTAGCATAGGACACACAAAATGTGTGCAACATGTTCCCAGGCAACGTCGGCTTTTTTTATGCTCGATCAACCACAGTGTACTCGTCGAGCTTAACCGAAGCGGTTGCTGTTATTGCTCGCTCTCTACTGTGCTCTCTCGAATCTATTTATAGATGCACAGGCAAGAGTGCAAAAAAGTTGACCTTTTTTTCCTTGCTGAAAAAAGAGCATGGCACAAATGTAAATGCGTTTGCTACGCACATAGAAATCTCTTTGAGTTTCATGAATGTTTGAGGAGAGGGTATGACACATTGAGACGCATCAAACAATTTTTTTCGCGCTACGCAAACACTCTCACGTACACTCCCTTGTGCACATGTGTGTGCATTTATGGGCTTGTGTGCGCAACTCTTTCTTTGATATTCTGACGTGTGAATTTAATGTGAATAAGCGTAATTTGCAGATATTAAGGCAGATTTAGATGTAGTTTTAATAGACTTAAATTTGGGGTTAAGCTTTTGTATCTAAGCTTTTTATACTCGGTTTGCTATGTTATCAAAAACAATATAGAAGTTTTAAGCTATTAAATACTGCCTTTACTAATTATATGACTTCATAGACGATAATGCCAGCTATTTAATGACTAATGTTTCACTTGCTATGGAAAACATACTTTTTTATGTAAATCACAATATTATATATAATAATAATATATATATATAATATGACATTACAAAATTCAAAAGCTTCCCCGGCGCAGCAAGTTATTTAAAATAGAAATTAAATTTCATTTACGTCTATCGGAAAGGTAAATCAATTAAATATGGAAATAGCCATAGGCAATTGGCATAACTGTTATGAGTTTGATGCCTTTGCTGGGATTAAAATTCAAACCATTTGCAGTCGAGCACTTAGATAATGGAATCATTTGCATATTCTGGCCATAGTTTTCTTTGGAGCGGGGGCCAAAGTCAAAGGACATTTGAATTGATGTCAGCTCGAGTAGTTTTCGACTGTTTAACGAAGTTGGCAGTTAGGAGAAGCAGAAGAAGAAGCAGAACAACAGTCATTAAGCTAATTAACTGGAAATGCTGTTAGCGAAAGCCTAAACAAATATATAAATTAAACAGGCAAGCGACAAATTTTGCAGCTCAGCGGAAACGGAAGCGCGCGTGTCGCCATTTTGATTTGCCATGGCCATTACCATTAGCGAGTGCCGTTGCTTGTTGCCTGTTGTTGGCTGTTGTTGCCGCTGCTGCTTAGCATCCTTTGAAGCGCGTAAACGCCGCACGCTCCCAAGCAAAATAAAATTAATTAAAAAAGGTGAACAAAAATTGCTAAAGTAGAAGTCGAAGTAGAAGAAGAAGAGTGAAAAAATGAAACGCAGCGCGTGACTAAATTGTAAAACAAATCCTGAATAAAGGCGCCATCACTCGACTACTAAAAAATAAACGGCCCCAATACACTGAGCGAAATTTTAAGGCCTTCTCTAATTATATATTATTTATAACAACTTTTTTTAAATCTAAAAAATTTATATTTTATTCAAGAATATTTGAGGTACATAAAATAAATGGCCCCAATATACTGAGCGAAAATTTAAAGCCTTCTCTAATTATATATTATTTATAACAACTTTTTTTAAATCTAAAAAATTTATATTTTATTCAAGAATATTTGAGGCACAAATATGAAATGAAATATTTTACTTTATTTTATTTTACTTTACTTTGCATCAAAAAGGAGAACAAAATATTTAAAACTGAAAAGTTCACAATATGAAAAAAGCTTAAAAATCTTTCTATTCGCAATTTTGAATCAAATCAAAAAATCAATGGTTTTATGATTAACAAAATTTAATTGTAATTTCAGTGAATAACTCTCAGTCTCAGAGTGTATTTTTATATAAACTTCAATTTGAATCTCGTTAAAAAAAGCCTAACTCAATTTTTCTCGCAGTGTATCGACTGTTACTGTGAAATGAAGCAAGAATATTTAATGCGCTGCTCGTTGGGTAATAAAAGCGGATTTCTTTTGGGCTCAGCTCACAAATCTTGTTTGGACTCAATTTGTGGGCGGACTGTGGGGGAGTGGCAAAACATGTGCATAGCCCGCTGCTCTTTTATGAAGTATGAAAAGCAAACGGAAAAAAAAACAATGAAAAGTTGCTTGCCAAACTTTGGAGTCCCGAAGAAAAAAGCCTGGCAAAATTATTGAAGAATTTTGTACTTGAGCCAATCAATTGCATGCATCGAGGAGCAGCCGAGGAGAAGCAGGTCAGTGGGGCATTATAATAAAAGTGATTTAAAGTCGCCTACAATCCATGCTTATTATATAGAATCAATTCGACCTCAATACATTACAACTTTAGGCGAAAGCGAGCGGGGCTCAATGAGGGCAGGGCATCTGCCTGTTTGCTAAACTTTTAAATTACTCAGCGGGCACTTTCAATAATGGCAAGCACCACCTCCATACCCCCCTCTATCCACCATGTCTCGTACCTCCTACCTGATGACCTCTAGTTGTAGGTCTTAACAGACTTTTAGGCGGCAAAACTTTTACTTCGTACTCTTTTCACTTTTTTCATCATCTGGTACTTATGCCTTGAGACTTCAGCTAGGACTTTGACTTACCCCCAATGCTTTCGACAAAGTTGTCTTGGAAGTTTTTGCTGGAGTTGCCAAAGGGCTTGAGCGGCAGCAAGTGGGGACGTGGGGGGCGGGGAGGGGCATGTCTATTTCCGCTACGGGCGTAAAAATAACAATCGACTTGCAGTTTGAATACATCACAGCAATGCTCGGAAAGGAAGCGAGGGGTGGAAGCAACGTTTGGCAACTTCCGTGCTTGCTTTGCTTCTTTTTTAAGACGGCGGGATTAAGTGGATTTTTAAGTGGCAGCAGCAAAAGTGGCCACGGGCCAGCTACGGGCTTAACTTTCCGGCTTAGGCCCCATCCCTGGTGACACAATTACATGCACGTTACGAGCATTTTGCCGCCCCTCCCCCTGCCCCTCCACGCCTTATCCACTTGCCACATCCTCTTTCCGACTGGAATAAAATGGCTTAGCCATTGACATGGACAGCACGTGCTAATGGGCAGTTTTTTTGGTGGATTGGCAACTGCTCCAGCATCAGCTGTGCTGGCGGTGGTGGGTGGGTGGGTGGTGGCAGTGGATGTGGTTAGTAGACATTTTGGACTTTTGGTCGCTTACTGTTTTTCTTCTTGTTCTCGTTGTTCGTGTTGTTGTGTGTTCATTGTGCAATTGCGGCCGTTGATTGGTTTCAAAATTAGCCAGCAATTCGTGTGACCCTCCTGAGAGCAGATGTATTAGCTGGTCCTTGCCTTAGCTGGGGCTGTGTGTGAAAAGCTACAGTGAAAGACATTTCTATTGTTAGTGCTGAGGTCATTTAAAATTAGAGTGAAGTGAGGTAAAAGCATGTGAATATTAAATATACATATATAATTATATAAATTATAAATACTTGATTATTCTTTTACCGATGATGATAATAGTGATGCTAATGCTAATGCTAATGCTGATGCTAATGCTGATGCTAATGCTAATACTAATGCTAATGCTAATGCCAATGCTAATGCTAATGCTAATGCTAATGCCAATGCTAATACTAATGCTGATGCTAATGATAATGCTAATGCTGATGCTAATGATAATGCTAATGCTAATACTAATACAAATGCTAATAATAATACTAATACCAATACCAATGCTAATGCTAATGCTAATGCTAATGCTAATGCTAATGCTAATGCTAATACTAATACAAATGCTAATAATAATACTAATACCAATACCAATGCTAATGCTAATGCTAATGCTAATGCTAATGCTGATGCTAATGATAATGCTAATGCTGATGCTAATGATAATGCTAATGATAAAGATAATGCTAATGCTAATACTAATACAAATGCTAATAATAATACTAATACTAATACCAATACTAATGCTAATGCTAATGCTAATGCTAATAACAATGATAATACACGGCTCTGCAATCTTGTGGAACCAATTTCGGCGCCTGTTTGTCTACTTGGGACAAGCTCAAGTAGCGCTGCCAACTCACCTAATGATAATACTAATAGTAATAACAACACTAATATGGGTGTATTAATTCTTATTCACATAATACTGCATAAATGGCTTTATTTGCCCACTGTAACCACAGATATAGACTTGTCTGATTTGCTGATGGAGTTAAGCTTAAAAGTGGCGAGCACTTAGCTCCAGCTCGCAGTTATTTGTTTGCAAGTTTTCAACAAGCTGAGGGGATAATGTGAATTTTCTAAACGAGTATTACAAAACCCCATTTATGACCCCGGCCCATTTGTTGCTGACTATGGGGCAATTGTAGTCAACACTCAAAAGCTCATTTTGAGGGTGGCAATGTGAGCCGTCTGATGATGACCAGG